AATTGGTCTAATTTCCTCCCAAAAATATTTTTTGTCTCACCCATAATCAACATATTCGCTCATATGAGGAGAAAAAGCAAACTTCACCATTGCCGGAAATAATATTCCTACTCTCTTTTCCTCTTTTCTCATATACTCTAACCAATTAGCAAAAGCCTCCGGTAATAATTTCTCAACTATTACTAGTTGAATATGAGAAGGTCAACCGTTTTTTTTCAAGTAATTAGCGGTAACGCTTAACGGTTCGGGTTTAGTATTCATGATTACTTGGACTTTCCTTTCACATCATTCATCATGTTGCGGGTGAATTTCAGTTAATTCACAGTTAATTTTTGCTACATTATAAATTCCTGGTATTTTTAGTTCAGAAAGGGAGTTAGGCATATATTTTTTTGTAATATTATACAACTTTGCACATTAGAATTTATTCCACTTCACGAAGACTTTTTTTCGGTAAATACTCATTTTCTTTCTTATCCCAAGAAGTAAGTAAAAAATTCTCTGATAAAAGATAAGATTTTCGACATTTGAATATTCAACCACTTCAATCTTTACTTTCTCGCTTTTCTCAATCACCATACATAAGGATAAGTTTGTTTTCTAATTCCTCTTCTGTAAAGTCTAATAAATATTTTTCAGTGAAACGAGTTCAAAATCAACTTTCTTTTTCTAATTTAGCAGCCTTATTTTCCTCCTCGGTTTTAGTAGTTTGGAGTTTAGTTAATTCCTCCTGTAATTCTTGTTGAGTTATTTGGTCTCTTTTTAATTGTGTTATTAGTGCTGATAATTGCATCCTTAAAAAAGAAAAAACACCTCTTAATTTGCTTCAATCTGGTTTGCCTTCACCCATTAGCAATTCATCATCTTTTTTTAACAATTCAGGAACAGACAAATTGAAATAAGAGGCTAATTTCTTTTCAACCTCATTAGGGAGTTTGGACTGTAATTCTTGGATAGTTCTCTCATCCTTTTTTTGTTTGTCAGTCAGTTCTTTTATTTCTTTCTCCAAACTGGCTAATTCAGTTTCTTTTTGTTGGACTTTATTTTGCTCCTGGGTAATTTGTTCTTGGTATTTAAAAATAGATTGCTCCATTTTTTCTATTTCCCCTCTTTTTATATCAGTTTGGGTTCCCATTTCAGCAGTAGGAGGCTTTTTTAAAGCCTGTTCTAACTTCTTTTCTCAATCTTTATCTTTTTTAGTTAAGAGTTGTAAATATTCTTGGTGTTTGGTTTTTTCTTTTTCTTGAAAATCCTTAATGGTTTGTTCTAACTGATTTTCTTTTTGGGTGAGTTGAGTTTTATAATTATCTCGTTCTTTGATGATTTGTTGTTTTTCTCCTTTAAGTTTGGTTATTTCATTGCTTAATTCTTTTCAATTATCTGGCAAGTCATTGGGTTTTTGATTAGCCAGTAAATTGTTATAATCAGTTAAAGTTGGTCGTTTACTTCAATCGTTCTCCCAATCACTTTTAGAAATAGGGATATCAGGTCTTTTTTCCAAATCAGTGATACGAGCTAATTCAGTTCTCCAATTAGCAGGAAGGTCAGCTGGTTTTATTTCAGCATTTTCAAATTTAGTTTTCCAGTTGTCTCTACTTGCCTTTTCTGCTTCCAACTCTGCTTTTAATTGATTTATTCGAGCAATGTATTTAGAAACATTTGGAATAGCAGGAACAACTAATAATTTTTCATCTCAAATATTTTGGTCATAAAGAGGGTATTTTTTACCATCTCGAATTACATATGTAGTTTTCACCATATTATTCTTTTTTGTTTCTAAATAGGAAGTAGGCAATTATTCCTATTACCAATAATACTATACTTCCTCCAATTATTCACGGAGTTCAGTTAGTTGGTTTATTTTCGTTAGTATTTTGTGCTTCTAATTTGGCTAATTCTGCTTTTTTATCTTGTAATTCTTGTTCTTGCTGGGGAGTTCTATTAGTAATTGCCTCTAACTCAGCAATTCTGCTCTGTAATTGCTCTTTCTCTCTCTCTCTCTTGTGGATTATTGCCTCCTTTACCAGTTAATTTTTCTAATTCTTTTAAGAATTCTTTATCTTTCTTTTGTTTTTCTTGATTATAAAGGTCATGGTTTTTTACATCTTTCTTTACTTCTTGTATTTTACAATCAGGACATTCCTCAAATTCAGCATTTTCATACTTGCAAAGTAAATCGACATATTTTTGGGTCAACTCAAACTGCTTATTTCTACATTTGCTACCCATGTAAGGACAGCATTCTACTAAACATTTATGTTTGATAGTTTTATTCTTGCTTTTTCAATAATGCTTTTGACTTTCTTGGAGTGGCTTGTGGCAAAAATTACAAAGTTTGCCACCCTCCATCCCTTCCTTTCCTGCCCAACAAAACATAAAAAAATTGTCTCATAACTCTCCTTTTCTATCTAGTTCTTCAAGACAAGAATAGCAAATGTTATATCCCTTTTCTGTATTTCTTAATCATTTATTGCCAAGATTAGTTTGACAGTTATGACACTTCTGATTAGGCTCTGACATATAATGTTATTTTTAGAAAATTTTTGAACACACAATATAGGTGGCATTAAAATTTTTTTAACCCATTAGTCTTTTAGTATTTGTATTAGTCTAAAAGAATAGATTAAAAAGTTTTTGAGTAAAATTATAAATATAAGACAAGTAAAAAAATTATGACTAAAAAACTAACTCATTGTTCTAACTGTGGAAAAGGTTCTTTTATCTGAGTAGGAGAAAAAGGGGGAGAACAAATTCAATGTTTTAACAGTCAAGAGTATATGATGGTTAAAAACATTAGCCGTATCCTCTACACTGACAAAAGTCCTTATGAAAAGAAAATTGCTTTATTTAACCTTTGAAAGGATTTAGAAGTAGGAAGATTAGAACCTAACGAAAAGAAAAAGATTGACCTTTTATTGCTGGGTAAAGTTTACAATGAGTTAGCCAAAAATAATTTAAAAGAGTATAAAAAGTTAACTGGTGATAATGTTAGTGGCTAAAAATTAACCATAATACTTTTACCAAAAGAGGAAAATAATTTTGCATATTGTAATACACAACAAATATAGTCCCGACTGGGAAAAAGAAGTAAAACATTTAAGCCTAATTTTAAAAGATGACAAAAGTAAACAATTAGAAACTTTACTCACTGAACACACAGAGTTAGAAAAAGATCACCAAACCAAAACTCAAGCAATCAGAAAATCATCCAATGAACGCAAACAACTCTTAAATATCGCTTCCTACTCCCGCGAAGTAGCCCAAGAAGAAACCCGCTTAACTACTAACTCCACCACTCACAACCCTAGAATGAAAAATTTTCTCGGAACAGGTGGAACTAAATGAAGAACTGATGGATGGAATAAAAAAGCAACCGATCATTTTACCCCCAGCAGCGGCAAATTAGATAATCTTTACAAAATCAAGATTAACAACTCCGAGATAGAAACAACAGAAGAACAAATTATCAACACCATCGCTTACCTAGTCCAAGCCCTCAAAAAAATAGATAAAGATGATTTCACCGCTAAGTATAATGCCAAGGAGACTGATAGCAGTAAACAAACCAAGGTAAAAAATTATTTAACCAATATTCAAACACAGGAGATAATTGTCGGCAGCAATACTTACGACTTCGCTCATACTTACCACAAATATGATAAAAGTAGTAATACCTGGACGGCTTGCACTGCCCCGATTTTTAACTATCAAGAATTCTTTGAGTTCATAGAATTAACTCACAACCAACCATTTTTAAAAGATTTAGATGCTGACAAGCAAAAAAATATTCCGACCGGAGGAAGTTGACATATTTTGCTGAAAGGTGAAGCCTATTCAACCGAACAATTAAAAGATTACGGAATTAATATTGACCCTGCTAAAACCACTCTTTATAAAACCGATTCAGAAAAGCAAACCCTAGCAGTCGGAACAGGAATTGGCGGTTGACTAGAACTAGCCCACTCAATTACTTACTCAGATGACAATAAAACCAAACTCCAAGACGCCTTCACCAATTCCCCATCCCAACAATTACTATCAGATTTAAAAACCTGAACCACCGATAACGGAATGGTAACGGATGGCACCAACTGAACTCTCCCAGAAAGTCTAACCAGTATCCAAGCAGCAAAAGACCAATTAGAAATGGAAAAACTGGGAGCAGCAGTAAAGTTGGTGGAATTAAAAAAAACAATTGAGGATAAAAAAAAAGAAAGAGACACTAAACAAGTTGAAATCCAAGTTAAAGAAACCCAAATTGACACCCTGATTAGGGAGATTTTGAGTAAAAAACGCGAGCAATTAGCCACTTATAATATCAGCAAAGGCTTCGCTAAAACTGCCAGTGAGGACAATAGACGTGATATAATGGAATTGCTTGACCTGAACCAATTACTTTTAGAAATCAGATATTTAGAAAATGATGGGGATGCTACCACTCTTAGTTCAGTGGCCGATGAAAATACCGCTCTAACTGCCGTTGAGGATATTATAACTAAACTTTATTCTTGTGATGGTGATTGTAAATTAGTAGAACGCTTTTATAGTTTTGCCTTTGTTGGCGGTGATAGTAAATTGGATGCTGCCCAAGCCATTGCTTACATTAAGGCCGGTAAATATACCAATAGTGAAGGTAAAGAACGTGATATCTCTTTTTACGGAGGATTAGCCCAGTTCAAAACCCACTTTGAAAATAAGGAAAAGTTGGTCAAATTAAACGATTGAGAATTGGAAGCCAAAACTGCAATTGAAAAAGCCCTCAATGAAAAAGATAATGCTGAAGAAAAGTTAAGTGATTGACAATCAACTTTAAAAGCCCTGGACTCCACTCTGGATGAAACTCTTATCACCGAGGATTGAAAAACTAAGTGAGGTCAGGTAAAACAACACGGCAAAATTAGCCAGGTAGAAACTTTGCTTAAAAAAATCCTAGGCCCAGACCATAAAGTCAAACCTGAATTCTTGGAAGAAATTAAGCAGTCGGATGCTACTTTAGTAGATTTAAAAACTCTATTAGGCAAAGAACCCAAGGAAATTATCACCCTCATTGCCCGTTTTACTTATAACCAACTAGATGATGGTGCTGCGAATGAGAAAGATAAAAAGAAGACCCAAATGAAACGGAGAATAGCGAAAAAGTTGAATAAAACTAAAGAAAGCGAACTTAAAGAGGAGGAATTGAATGATAGTCTTTATAAGTTGGAAATAGGAGAAATGATTT